AAGGTTAACAGGGGTGACCATTCTAAAATGGAAGGAATCCTTGTAGCATTTCTTATTGATGCAGAAGGAAAAAAGATCTCTATTTCCCAAAGGAAATATTTTATAGTTTTAAAGGAATTGCCCTCCGGCCTCCATACACACGCACATGTGCACACGCCCCCTACCCTTAAGTGGGTGCCTATGTGGACAGTCCTATAGGCCGCATGGGGGGTGGGGTGGGAGAGAGTGTTTTTTTTTTTTGGATAGGGAATAGAACTCAGGACCTCATACGGTGTGATTTTGTCACATAAAATAGCTGACTTAGGCTGCTGCTGCCTCATCTGCTTTCTGGCTAGGTTTCCCTACATTTGTTTAATAAAACAAAGAATCTTAACAGAACCAGAAATCAGTTTGGTGCTGGAGAGAGATGCCTACAAGTTCTCATCAGCCTGTGTTGTTTTATTAACACTGCTCCCCTTACAGAGTAAGAAAGATTCTTGCTTTTCATAAAATATCACCTCGCTTTTGTTCAGGGATCCCTTGCTGTGCAAGAATTCCCCCTAATAGTCAAAGTTAATTACAATTAACGACACAGGCTACACTGTGGACATATGCCAAGTGACATAAATCAAATGCAAAAGGATAAAGACTCTGGATCTACAGAGGGGCTGGGATATGTGGATTTCACAGGAGAGGTAGATGGGGGCTGGGAAGCGGGGAGTGGGAAGTTACTGTTGTGGGCACACAGTGTCTCCAGGGAGAATGTTTATTGTGACACAACATGGGACAGTGCTGAATGCTACTGAATCGTGGTTACAAGGATATATATTTTATCACAATTCAAAAAAAAAAAGTCTAACAGGTTAATTACAATTAAATTCTCACTTTACTTACGAAGCCCAGGCATCCAACAATCTATTTTAGATTGTGGAACTAATATCATGTGAAAATTGCTTGATCTGTCAGTCCATGGGAAGGGGCTGTAATTTGCTGTTAAGATTCAGCTGCGTAGCTGGGGCGCTTCTGACCATTCTAATGGACTTCCATTAATGAGTCTCTAAAGGAGGAGAAGCTCTTTCCTCTGGCTCCTTGTTGCTGTCCCATCCTCCTCCTCATGCCTCCTGTATTTGCTGGAGGCTAGGAAATCACTTAAGCTTATTTTAAACAAGGAGGGTAAATAGGCTCTCAGTGTGGGCTGGGGCTTCTGCTTGGGTAAAAACACAGGGTTGACTGTTTGTTGTTTGAAAAATCTATTTTGGCTGCTCAAAGGACCTACTTATTTCCTGGTTGCATTCTTGAGAGCTGAGGCTGGTGGGGATGTGATCGCCAGTCATCTGTAGATTGAGGCTTTCTGAATTAGTTCCATTTACAGAAGCAGAAGCTGAGGTCAAACTGGCTGTTAGTCCACGGACACACAGTTGACTGTCGGCATGGGGCTGGCATCCAGATTAGAGCTTGGTCCATTAAATGAACCCTAGTTTTTTGTTTTGTTTTGTTTTTAGAAGGACTTGAATTGAACCTGTAGGTATTCTACCATTGAGATACATCCCCAATCCTTTCTTAAACTTTTTGAGACAGGGTGTTGCTAATTCACTAAGCTATGGCAAACTTGCAATCCTCCTGCCTCAGCCTTTTGAGTAGCTGAAATTACAGGTGTGTGTCACTATGCTGTGTTGAATCAAATCCAGTTTGATTCAGCTCAAATCAAAGTTCTGAATGAAATAATTCAATCCACTATTGTATCTTATTATATTAGAAATGAATCCCAACTATATACAGGCAAACTAAACACTACAACAAACTATAACATATCCTTTTAAAATTATAAAATCAACAGTTTTTCTGAATATCACCCCAGCATAGATTAGCAGGCATGATATTATATTTTTGCAAGTTACTAGAGATCATTGACTTTGTCCAAATAATACCAGCCACACTCTGGGTACAGCAGCTAAGGGGCAGGGCCAGAGAAGGTCCCCAGTTGAAGTATAACAGCAGCCTCTGCCTTAGAAAGATCTCTAGGTTTCCCTTGCTCCTCCTAACCAGATTTCTCAAGTGATAGCTTTTAATTGCTCAAATAATGGCCCCTTTGAACCTGTTTATGAGAGCTTAGTCTCCGAGATTGAGATCTAGTTGATGACCAGTTAATGGAGTGTATCTCATAAGGGATCATTATGATGTCTTATTAATTCCCAGTTTTGAAGTTTAGCTTTTCTCCTACTGGACTTTCTTACCCAAAGTACACTTTGAAAACTCTAAACAGTTTTGAATATAAGTTTATGTATTCCTTCATCATACTCTTGGCTTTATTCTGTGTTGCATAAGATCTGAAACTTGGGAGGCAGCTCTTCCTTCAGGATAGAGTTGGCAGAAGGTTCCCTGAGTATACCCTGGGGTGTTAATGCCCACACATGGCAAATCCCAGAAGAAGCTGGTCTTGCAGGAGAGTGGGAGGTGATAGGTCACCCTCAAAAACTACCAATGCTAGAACTAGAGGGAAAGGGCAAATTCTGGATTGCTAGTTAAGACTCACTGAAGAAGTCACCAAGGAAATGACCCTGATTATTCCTGTGTCCCACCACCATGTGTTCTGGTTTTATATGAGCTATGTGGTGAGTAGACAACAAGTTCTCCCCCTGATAAATGCCAATTTTATCTTTGTCAATGGCTGAGATACAGAAAACCTGGCAAGAAAGTAATATGATTCTAAAAAATTGCATTCATACATTTTCATGAAGACTCACCTAACTGAGTATGTAACAGGTTAGCACTCCATAAAATGCTTCTAATTTTTCCCAGTTGTTACTAAGTGGAATGGATGGGAGGCAGAATACTTCCTAGGATACATCCTGGCACTGCCAATATATAGCTGTGGAGTCTGGGGCCTCGGCAGACCAATATTAGCTGCTGAGGGTTCACAATGGTTCACGTATTTGCTAAGTGTATTCCAGGCATTAGCTAATGTAAAGCTGCACAATGTCCCAGGACAGTGATGGCGAACCTTTTAGTGCTTCTGATGACAATAAACAGTCTGCTCAGCATAGGTGTCATAGGTTTGCTACCATTGTCCTAGAAGGTTCTCAATATCTCCCCTAGTTTAAGATGAAAACACCAGAGCTTATAGATGTTGAGAAATTGTTCAAGATCAAAGAACATTCAAGAACTAGGATTTGCTTCCAATCAGAGAAATCACTAGGGTTTCCATTTTCTCATGTGTAAAAATAATAGCAAATAATTGCTGCAAATATTAACAGCTGAGTATTCAGCAAATATTTATAGGTAGTCTTTTAAGTGTCACTGTAGTACTGAGTGCTAGGAATTTAAAACACATGAAATTTTATAAAATGTAGAACATTATATAGAACCTTTGTTGCTCTTTTAAAATCAATTAAGTTAGGCTTAACTGAGCTATTTCCATTTCAAAAATCTAGAGTGATTCTGCTAAATCCAAAAGGCCAATTACAAGCAATTCAAGTGCATATCAACAGATGAAGAAATGAACAAAATGTCATATGCACACCCAAGGGAATATTAGCCTTCAAGAGGAAGGAGATTTGACATCATGGATGAACCCTGAAAGTGAAATCAGCTGGTCACAACAGGACAGATACTATATGATCCCATGTAAAGGAGGCACAGTCAAATGCATAGTGACAAAAAGTAGACTGGAAGTTTCCTGAGGCTGTGGGAGGTGGAGTGCAGAATTATTGTTTTTTTTTTTTTTTTTTTTTTTTTTTTTTTTTATCGGTACCGGGGATTGAACTCACGACCGCCTGCTTGCAAGGCAGGTGCTTATGCTGCTGAGCTAAATCCCCAGCCCCAGAATTATTGTTTAAGGGTAGGAGTTATAGTTTGCAAGGATAAAGAGTCCTGGAGATGGGTAGCGGCAATGGTTGTGTAACAATGTGAATGGACTTCATGCTCCTGAACTGCATACTTAACAATATCAAAATCGTCTTATTTGTGTATATTTTACCACCTGAAAATGACTTTTAAAAAGTCTATGCAAAATGTAAAGCAGAATAATGTCATTTCCTTTAAGTAGCAAAACAATTTTGGTAGTAAGAGGAGAAACTGAAAACATGAATGACCACAAAACAGTCAAATTACATGGCTGGTAAGTCATGCATCTGCTGCGGCTGCCTCTTCCTTCTCAGGGTGTCCTGCAACAGGCGTGTGTGGACATTCACTCTGTCTTAGGCTTATTCTACGGTCCAGGCCAATTCTCTTCCAGGGCAAATATCACCTTTTCTTTGGAAGACATTTCTGGCCATGGGAAAGTTCTCCCTACAGTAGGGTGGTTTGTTTAGAAGATAATTTCTTCGATTCTATAATTTCCTACCCACTCAGTATAATTGAACATTCAAGATGGCACACACTCAAAAAGCAGCATGATTCTATCCCAACGGAAAGGACCTGTTTTAGCAAATCTTTAATAGAATTTTGCCCAAGGCGGTCTTTGAAATATATTAAAGGCTCTTTAGCAGACCAATAATAACAGCTACTCAATCACTTGAGCTAACTGAAGTTTGTGAAATGTCTTCTCATAAAGTCAAATGTTGCCTTAAAGCTAATAGGGACATGTTGGTTGCAGACATTTTAAATGCACACAAAATGTCCACCCCCAGTTGCGTCTGTGAAAAGAGCAGAATTCCGTCAGTATTCTACCTTGTCTCATTATGCTTTTTGTCCTTTCCTTTAAAACACTGTCAACTGAATCTTCAAGTATAGGTGGAAAAATATTCTAATTTTAATGTCAGAAAAAGAGATATATCAGGTTAAAAAAATGCAAGGAATATTTAATTTTTAAAAATATATTACAGTAAAAGACACAGTGTTATCAATCTTCCTCAAAATAGTCTCCCTTGCTTCAAACACTCTGGAAGCCTTCTTGAGCATCGTCTTCTTGCAGCTGCCTCGATGTTCTAAAGTGACTCAAAATGTTTACGTTTTGTGGTCATTTTGACTCTGGGAAAGAGCCAGAAATCACAGGTGCCAGTTTCGGTGCATAAAGTAGATAAGAACACACTGCGGTGTTTTTAGAAGCATGCCTTTCCATTGCATGGCACTCAGCAGCAGTATTCATAGGATTTTTGATCACAGCTTGTAAGGACACGCATGAAAGAGGATTTCCTGAGCTGCTTCAGAAGGTGCCAAGAAAAATGGGATAAACGTACTCGAAGAAAGTGGAAGCATTGTGAGGGGGATTAATGGCAATGTATCTTTTAAATTTTTAAAAATTGAAACATTGTATATTTTGTCATTCCTTGTATTAAGTTTCATAGTTATACCAAGAGTTTACTAGGCACCCTCTCCAAGTCTTCTCTTTCCTCTTAGCCAGTATTAACATTTTCTTCTCTGTCCTTTCTTTGTTTTTTATTTCTTATTTCTCATTCTTTTTTCTCATTTCTTTTTATTCTCATACACAGAGTGGTGGTTGTGAGAACCTTGTGGCGTCTATAAGTGACTTCAGGTCGTCTTCGAGGTGAAGCATCATATTTCCTTTGGTAGGTAAGCATTTCTTAACCATTCAACACACGTAAAAATAAGGTCTATGTTTTTGTTATGTGTCACTGATGGGATGCATGACTCCTCTGCTCAGCATCCGATTTTCCCATAGGTCCTACTTTCCCCCGAGAGATTTTTCAGAGTGAGTGAACATATACATACACATACATAATATACATGTCAAATTACAGAAGAGCCCATTGTAGGTAACCCAGCACCTTCCCTCTTATCATCTGTATCCTTTTTCTCCCTTTCTTTTTCTTTTTCTCCCTTTCTCTCTCCTCTCCTCTCCTCTCCTCTCCTCTCCTCTCCTCTCTAGGTTTAGACATCTGACATAGGAGTAAGGACAATACCTGTCTATGATCTGTTTTCAGCTCACACATTCCCACAGCCAGGACGAGTAGGGAAGACGTCCTACCAAGCCTGATTCAGGGCCCTACACATGCATGGACATACTTACACCTATTCCAACAATTCGTCTCAGCTCTAAGTTACAAGAAGCAGGATCATCAGGAACTCAGCAGCAACCTTTCCACCACCTGAGATTTAGTATTTCTTAGAAGACAATGAAGAAAATCATTGCATCCGTAATTATTATACCAATTGGTGATCATTATGTTACTGCCACCAAGTTCTTGGTAATTTGAAAACCATATCCTGGTAAAAGTTAACAATGTAAGTGGGCTATTTTATAAATTGTAAACTTATATCCTAAAATATCATCTCCAAAAAGATGCAAGTGGACTTCAGTTTCTTCCAGAAATGCATCTAAATGATATGAGCTGATTTGAAGGGCACAAGGCTTAACAATGCACTAAAACAATTTACTTTTTATGTGCCTATACTTCTCATTTTAGTTTCTCAGGTTCCTATTCTGAGTTTAAAAGGATTGGTGAATAAAGAGGAAGAAACTCCATTTTCTTACCAGTTTTATCAGTGTGGCAAGAACCTTGCAGCTTCCTGGCACAGCTGCATGACGCATTGGATGGCAGATAGAGACAGACCATTTCCTCCTGCTCACACCTTTCCAGAATCTGGCCATTACAATCAGAATCTCCACCCCAATCTCCGCTACACACAGCAGCCATCTGCTTGCCTGAAATACTGACTTATGGTGTTAAATAATCCCAAAGAACCTACCAGGTCAAATGGGTAGGAATGAGTACAAAACAAAAGAGAGGTTGGTAATTCAAAATGAGGGTGAAAGAGGAGAGAAAATGGGGTGATAGAGACATTCCAGAATGGGGGGAGGGACAGTAGGAAGATACATTGGTCTGAATCTGCTTCAAGTACTGCATAAAGAAGTTATTTTAAACTGTCTATGGGGTTTTTTAGTAGAGGGAGTAACTGTAACTTTAGCAAGAAAGCAACATGAAAATCAATCCTTGTCTCTTACACCCCTCCCTTCCTTGCCCCCCCCCACCCCTATTCATTACTTCTATTTTGCTTTAGCAGGATGACACAATGGTGTAGGTTTTAGAGTGAGAGCACCTCAGTTATATATAATGCATGGCAGAGACTGCTAATGGCTCACAAAAATGTTTCTTACCTTCTTTGGGTGCACAAATACATCTCCTGGTCTTCCTAGATTTGGCATGGCTATGGCATGTGTGTCACTTGTATGTCTGCCAAAACCTCTCCCATGATCTCCATATCTTTTTGCTCTTTAGCAATGAAACAGTCAAGATCTCTGCTACTTTGGAAGCCACATGCTGAAGATGGTAGCAAGTCATCAGTGTGGGTCCCAGAATGACTGCATGGAGGAATGCTGAACCCATCGACCTGGACACTCTTAGGACTGTTTTAGGTGAAGCGGGAGACTTTTGTTAAGTAACTCGATTCTTTTTTTTTTTTTTTTGGTCTTTTCCCTTTTTATCGGTACTGGGGATCGAACTCACAACTGCCTGCTTGCAAAGCAGGCGCTTATGCCGCTGAGCTAAATCCCCAGCCCAGTAACTCGATTCTTGAAGTCTACTAGTTACTGCACCTTAGCCTACCTTTATTAATACACTACGCATTCAAAATCTTTAGAGCAGTATTTTTCAACCAGGGTATCTGGTAATATCTAGAGACATTTTTGGTTGTTAAAAGTGGGGAGGATGATGATTCTGTTAGCACTTGCTGGGTAGAGGCCAGGTGTGCTGCCAAACATCCTACAATGTACTTGACTATTCCCCACAACCAAGAACGACCTGGTCCTAAAACACTGAACGTCCTGTTAGCACCTAAGAGGTTTATGAGACAATGTAGACTAATGGTAAAGGAGTTGTCTTTGGAGTGAGAGCTAGGTTCCAGTTCCAGCTTTACCGCTAACCATCTGGGAGATCTGGGATAAGTCAACTATCTTCTCTGCTGTTAATAGTCTCTAAAATAGGAACTATACCATTGCCCACGTCACAGGGTTGTAGGGTTATCAGTGCCTGATACATGGTAAGTATTCAAATATCAGTTGCTACTAATGTTACATTTAGTGATTGTTTTTGTTAAGGTTATGTCTCAGAAGTGTTAGCTCTATAGAGTGTCTGCAGCTGTTGGTTTCCACTGAGGTGATAGAAATTGTTGTAAATGTTAGGAATTTCACGACATTCACTGCTTACACCATGCTCCCATAAGAATCTGATCAATACATGCATTTTATATGATTTTTCTAAGTTTTGACTCAAGTTCTAGCTCCAAGGCTTGGAGGAAATAATCTAAACTGGTATTAGCCATAGTCCACATGAACTGCAAACAGCCAACAGCTGTTTTAGTTTAGTAACTCTGCAAACTTCAACTTGTTGTGTTTCTACTAAATGCTGCCCACTTGGTACTATTTTCTTTAGTCATTAGAAATCAACGTGAAAATATTTATAGAATGATCAAAATGGGAAAACCTATTAGGAATGCAAAGACATGAAAAACCAGTCCACTTTCTTCCTCCCACAGGAGGTGTCAGAATACTCAAAGGTGTCAGAAGAGAGGAACACTCAAAATCACTCGGTGTGGTCACTTTCTAAGTTTGTGCTACTGTTTTTGAGTGGCAAGAGAGTGTATGTGAGGGAAGGTGTCATGATAATAATGATAACAATAACAGTACTGAAGAGGTAGAAAATGAACAGTCAATGTGGGGTTCTAAGTACAGTGATTAGATGCATTATTTAAAGAATAATTTATTCATGAACAAAGACTGTTAGGTTTGCTTCTCAATTATCCTAGATCTCAAATAATTTTAAGACAGTTCTAGTTCACTCATTATGATAGATTGTGGAGGATAAAATAAAGAGATACAGCCACATAAAAGTACTCAATTGCCATGTAAAAGAAAAAGCATATTAAGTTGTGCCAAGCACTACAGTACACATTCTTTATTAAGTACACCCACATAACAAGCCTTCATTGAAAACATTCTCTGCCAAGTTTTATACTCTAGCATGGCATGCATTTTTGCCCTCAGCATTCAAAAAACTTTAGTCTAAATGAACCTTTTTAGAAGGGTTAGCATAGTACATGCTATTTAAACTGCTGGGAGGGTATCAAGTAAGGATATCTGCAAAGAAAAGTCTGTGACAATCCCTCTGGCCAACAGCCTTCTCCTGGGTGCGGACCTTTTCTTCCTCTGTGCCAGGCATCATGGCAGGTCCTGGGAAAGTCCCTGCAATGCTGCCTCGTGGCTATGGGAAAAGTGGCCCAGACATACATGCAAATGCACACACACATGCACGCCCTTTTCCATACCAAACAGTTCTGTCTCCCACAGGACTGCTGGGAAGAGGACCTTGAGAGATGGGCCCCAGGACTAAGGCAAACTCACATTCTGTTTGGTCCTGGCTTCAAACATCATACAAGGCCCTATGCTGAGCCTCAAGCAGAGCTTGAGTGAACCTGCTGCACAAACTTCTCAGGCCTCGGGGTGGGTGTCTTTCCTCCACTGTGCACAAGTTCCAGAGGTCCTGCTAAGACAGACGTCCTTCCAACTAACTCACGCCATCAGCACCCAGAGCAGCCTTGTCAATAAGCAGTGGGTGAACAACCTTTCATGGGTTCTAAGTTACTCAATGTGTAGAAAGGATCCTTCTCTCTTCCCCCTGCCCTGCTGCTGTCCATATAATCACCCAAAAAATGAAGAGTGCCCATGGACTCACAGTCACAAAGGCTGGTGAGTGGAGGTCGCCATCTGAGTTTTGCTCAGCAACTGCTTTTGAATAATGTTCAATGCTTGTAGCAAACACAGGCTGAAGCTTTGGCTTTTTATATTTTGGACATTAAGGCTATAACACTTCTTAGCTTTTAACACACTTTATGGGTATTTGAAAAGTATCTTAGGTATCTGGCATATGAAAGAAAATGCACATTTTATACTTTTTACTTTATCCACTTTTTCCCCCATACTAAATACACGTATCTTCACTGTACCAAAAGGATTATTTTATTTAATATCTTGGAGTTAAAAAAGGCCATTTTATAGTGAGAATGTAACTTCCAATTATATGGCATTATGTAACATTAGGATCTACTTAAAAACTGTACTGAAAGGGTGAAACGGGCCATGAACTCTATCTGAGGCCTGATCTTATGAGGCTCTCAAAGGCTCTTTTACAGATCATTTAGAAAGATTAAAGAAACCCACTCTGCCAGGGAAGTCCTTGCTCAGTCAGTCGAAGGTCCCATTAAACATGAAAGAGACCCTTCTTTTCTACTTCCCAACGATAGAGTTCCATCTTGCCACGAACTGTAGCACTGGCCATTTTACTTTCAAGTCACTTTCACGTTTATCACCTCATTTTATCTGTGACTGTTCCTAAGAGCCACATATAGAGATGGAAATAACAGCCTCATTGTTCCCTCGGGCATGGTGACAGTCAATATCTTACTTCTCTTTCTTTCTCTCAAATGTCAAGTGCACAAAATCAATACTGAGGATATTGGCCCAAGGAGCAGAGAAGGGAACAGATTAGCCAAGGCAGGTGGGATAGGCATCCAGAGATAAGAGTCTGGGGAGGAATGCCAGGAACGAAGGGAGTAGAAATAAGAACAGCGGCATTTTTAGCTAAATTTCCAGAGAGCATTCACTTTTGAATCCCTTAGTGGCAAGTGAATGAAAAATGTGTATATTCTGGATTATTTTAATACAGTGTCTCTACACATGGGCCAGAAGCCATGCAATTTTCTTTGCATGTGCAAACAACATTTGGGATCCTACTATTCAACTAAAGTGAGACAATTTCTTCCCAGAAATAAGCTATGCTGATATTGGGGATCATGTGTAATCATTGTTTATGTGAGAGTCATCTAAATCAGTGTGTGCATCAATGATCTTTCACAAATGTGTCATTGCTTACAAATCCTAAAAACGAAACCTAAACCTGATCTGTGAAGATCGTGTGTCTATATGGCATTTAAACAAAACACACCACTTATGGGGAAGATAATTAAATTGGGAATAACTACTGATTGCTATTAGTAATAGCAGAGAGTCAGTAAAGTAGAGTACAGAGAAACGGAAACTATGATACCACATAAGTGCCAATGCCTTTTCATTGTCTCCCCCAATGAACTCTTTTTTCCCCCTTCTGGAAATAAATTTTGCTTAGAAAGAGCTAACCAAAGAAAATCTTTTGCATATGATAAGAAATTGTTAGAGTAGACTGTTCACAAGTAGCCCCCTTTCCAATTTAAAATTCTTCATCTGAGCCAGGTACAGTGCCACACACCTCTAAACATAGTACCTTGGTAGGCTAAGGCAGGAAATCACGGGTGTGAGTCCAGCCTGGGTAACTTAGTGAGAGACTATCTCAAAAAAAGGGAGTGCGAGGGCGTGAGAGCCTGGGGACATAGCTCAGTATTATGGTGTCCCTAAGGTTTGATCCTTAGTACTGCAAAAAAGAAAGAAAAAGAAAAAATTGTATTTGAGAAAATAAAGGATTTTAGGGAAGCCAGCTATCAAATTATAAAACTAAGTTAATAACAGATCAAAGAAAACAAACTGTAAAAGAAATTGACTAAATACATCCATATAAAACAATCTGTGTTGGGTAGACTTGGCACCAGGTATGAAAATAATTGGTGATTTCATGGGAAAAAAAAAACCCTATCTCCTCAAACATTTTTTAATTCTCTTATGGTAAAAACATTCAAAACCCTTCCTTCTAGCTTCTTAACATGCACAGTACACAACCATTACCTAGAGTCAGAGTCTGAGGCTTCCTAGGTAGTGGTAATGAATGATGCAGTGCCCTTGTGACGTGGGAACAAAGCACAGCCGTGTCCTCGTGGGGAGGGGACTGGGTGTCCCCTCCACCTTCCAGACTCTTCCCCAAGAGCCTGTCTCTCCACACCATCCTCCATCTCTGTCTCCTTATTTATGTTCAACCTCAGATTTTCAGTGAGTTCATTAAAAATAATCCAATTTCATTCAAAATCATACCAGAATTACTCATTAAAATCTTTTTCCTAATTAAAATTCTGTTGTTAGTGAGTTTGGTTAACCTGACTGTTTTTGGAAAGACATTAGGTAAAACAGTGTCTCACTCTCAACCAGCAAATCCAGAAGGGCCTGGTGATGATTACATTTTTAATTTATCATCCACTTATCATGTGCCAGGCACAATTCTATGAAATTTCGTGTTAATCCAACTCTAAGAACTCTATGCAGGTATTAGTTGTTAGTCCTATCTTACAGGTGATAAAATGTGGCATAAGATTTGCTAGAACTTGAAGGAACATGTGTTCCTCTATAGTGACCATAGCTGCTTTTGAGCTGCCATTGCGTATCTGAGCACTAGGGACCAGGACTGTGAGGCCCATCAGGCCTAAACTCTTTACTGTCTGGTCCTCTGGAGAAAACCTCACCAATGCTCTGTGCAAGGCATGCATATAGAAAATTTATGGATACAGAAAAAAAGCCAAGAGCATTGGGATAGTTCCAAGTAAAACTTATACTGAAATGCTTTTAGGAAAATAATTCTGTCTTTATTGGTTTTTTTTCAACAGTATCTTATTTCTTCTTAGCCAAGGTTTACTAACCAACCTCAGAAAAAAGAGTCTTGTAGGCTGGGAGGAGAACGAAGAAGCCAATCCATGTTCTTCTGTGAGCCAGTGGCAGCCATGGGCGGCAGGAGGAGAACCAAGAAGCCAACCTGCACCCTCCTGTGAGCCAGCATGTGGATGGCAGACAAGAAGGGTACTGCCCAGCTCCACCCTGTAAGCAACTGGCTGATTTAGAGGAACACACGCTGAGATGATAGCAGCTGAAGTAAAAAAACAACTTAATGCTTGTATTGTTTGGTTGATTTTGCAGGCCAGAAGCAGGTAGTCTGAGCATCTATTCAGAGGATAACAATATGCAATACAGCAAGAATGAGAGATTTTCTTCTATCTTGCTTTTGAAATCCAATACTGTTCTGTTTGTTTTATTTCCTTTAAAATAAAAAAATTACTTAAAAAAAGACAGAAAAAAAAAAGAAAGAAAAAAGTCTCTATGGTTATACCTGTTCAGTAACTAAATGTTTCTTTCTTAGTAAGCTGAGTTTTGATTAGGTGGAAAATTTCTAAGAAAGTAAGAGGGGGGGGGAGTATAAACTACAGAAATCTTTAATGACCACAGGTTTCTTGATGGATTATAAAATTTTTGGCTGTTTCACAGGTATTTCTTTTCAAGGACAATGACATCATTGTTGAAATTTTTAAAAAATTGGTCTACTTTATTCTATATTTGGTACCACATATTGTTTTGGTTGAGCAGCAATTGACTTTTCTATTTTTACTGGGAAATTATGACATAATTATTTTTAGGAGACAGTGTCTGGTTCTATTGTCTATGAAACTCCACACACGATCATAACAATAAGTTTTTTTTACTTTTCTCTAAACTTCTAACAGTGGATGTATTTGGTACAGAATGGGCTCATCAGTAAACATTTTGCTATATTCTGAAACACATTTTAGAGTAAAAGCCTAAAATAGGTAATAGATATCAACAAATGAAATAATTTGGTATCCTACTAGACAGCAGAATAAGTATGGCTTAGTAATAGAAAAATTTTCCCTGGAAATATTAACATGCATAACTGTAAATAAAAAATGAGTTAATATTTGAGTTCTACTGGTCATTCTTGCTTTATCCCCAAGACCTACCTACAAATCAAAGTCAAAGAGTAACAATTTCCAGAGTGTGTGATCTGGTACATGAGATGAGCTCAATTCATGAAGAATAATTTATGCAAGTAATTTGTAATTATAATAATCATGTAAATTTTTATGTAAAAGCATTTACTTTAAAAGTGTAAGAAAGAAAACATTCAAGACAAGATAAAACTGGCAGTTTTTCTTCCATTCATCACTCGCTTCTCCCAGAGCCAACCAGGGAAGAGCCTGGCACATAATACAAGCTTTGGGCTCGGCTGTGCATTAGAATCACCTGGAGATCTGTGATGAGCCCACTGCTCAGGCCACACCCCAGGCCAATGATTCAGGTATCAGCAGTTCTCGAAACTCCCAGAGGGAATGTGGAGTTGTGATTAATGTTAGAACAGCTGATGGGTTTAGTCAGTTACACCTGATGCCTCCCCATTCACTAGGAGGCTGGGAGTCCTATGCCATCCTTGCCTGTTCCAACACCTGTAGGTCACTGAGAGTCGTGGTGTAGGATTTATTAACACAAGATACTGGCACACCTGAAATAGCATCAAACTTATTTGTGAAACATGATTAAGTTGTGAATGCATATATTACATGGTGTTAATCCAGTGAGTGCGGGCGTATGGTTTCTCTTATGATCTGTTTAAACATTCACACCTCTGCCTCTTCAGAAGCAACACTCATGCATCCCCAACTATAAAGAACTTGGCTTTGTTGTGGGTTTTATAAGCCTCTTTCTCCTTCCTGTCAAACTTGGAAAAAGTGAAGTTTGCTTACCTCCACGATGCTTTTTAAATCTTGCACGTAAGTCCTTTCAGTCTCTAGAATTTCCTGCACAACTCTGTCCACATAGAGAAGCTTGGGACTGGTAGCTGAGTCTGCAGTTGTGTTGGGTGCTCCATTTGCTTCTGTGCCCCACTGGTTCCTGGGCTGCCTCTCGATGCCGTGGTCCATGTTCTGTGGCCCTGCGGGGCTGTCCCTCTGCAGCTCACTGCTGGAAAACGGTTGGGCTGGAACCAGTTCCAGTTTTATGGCCCCCGCTTCCTTGTCCTGGTGAAACAAGCCCAGATGGCTATTGGAAACCAAGGTCATTCTGCTCCCGAAGGAACCATGGCTGTCCCGGGAAGAGGCAGAGGATGAGGTGGAGCCAAAACTGACAGGTCGGTCACTGTCAGAGAGCTCCATGGTCTTGGGTTCTGGGGATCCAGAATGTTGGGCTGTCGTTTTGTGATCAGGAACTTCGGTTACAGCTGATGGCACTTCAAGACGCAGCCACTGCCCATCTACACATGTTGCAGAAAATAAAAAGAACGGGATAAGCAAGGTAAGCAGTGATTCTATCAAACTGAAGATCGAAAGGAGCTCAGAACTTAACCTGCATGCACGTAGTTAATCACAAAATGGTGGTAAAATGGTTGTATAGGAGGAAAGGCAGATTGAGATGCAAAATGAGCTTTGAGGCATTTGCAGCGAACCTGTTAGAAGAGCAGACTCAGGTTTTGTCCTAGACATTCAGACCTTGAACCTGCATCTTCTTGCCAACTCAGTATGATGTGTACATATGAAAGAAGCCCAATATCTGAAGTCTCCAGGGTGACCACCTGGAACAACTCATATATGCAGATTAGTCCAGATTTACTAAATTAAAGACTTAGCGGTCAGGGCATGAGGAATCTATAACAAGCACCACAAGTGGTTCTTATGTACTTAAAAAGGACCCTACGTGATTCCTGTGGAATTCTGAGAAACATTTCCAGATTTTAAATCTCCCTCAACAGTTCCGTGGAATTTTAAGCAAGCCTCCTGGAAATGCTACGTTAACCCCTCTACATTCTAACTTGTATAAGACATCAAAGGACATGTCACATAATGGCTGTTCCCTAACACTAGGCAAGGAAACGAACAAATATTAAGGCTCATATTCCACTGAAAACTCCTTCTCATTTCAGCATTTCTCTAAATCTGTCCTTGAGAACTGACACACCATTAGCTGGCACACGGGAATTACACTATTTGAGAATGTGTTTGATTGTAACATTCTATGAGTAAAGCTATAAAATGTTAAGTATAGAAACTAAATTAGAAAAAATACAAGAAATGGGTTGTTCATGTTTCTAAGAGGACATAGGGAGATAGTATCCACCAAGGATAGGCAAAGTGACTTTGAAAAGGTTGCTTAATATCCCTAGCACTTAAAAATGAACCAAGGTTCAAAGAGACCATACATGAAAACTAAACTTTCACAAGGTATTTTGATGAAACACTCAAAGTTTCAATCTTCTTCATTTTTTAAGGCAGAATCAACACTGCTCCCCTCAGAATAATGAATTTCAGGTTTATAGAAACAATATGGGGCTGGTGGTGTAGCTCAGTGGTAGAGTGCTTTCCTGATGTGTGTGAGGTCTTGAGTGCCATCTCCAGCACTGCTGATAAAAGAAAGAAATACTATTCCTGTGATAAGAATGTGATTAGTGATGAAATTTGCTTCATGTTGGCAGGTTACCTTACTACCAAAATTCATTTTCATGATTTTTATTTAGAAAAATGAAAGACCAAAACATGTTTGAAATGCCATAATATGATAAACACAGTAAAGAGAACAATTAATGATCAGTTTTTAGTAGGAATGTGAATTTTTTGACTATAAAAAGATCAAACAGCTGGTACCAGTATTTTCAGAATATAAAGAATCCATCAGGTCTGTATTGTTGAAATTCTATTTATGCTAAATATTCAAATTATGAATATCAAATAAAAGAGCTCAGTCTGGGTCAACAAGAAGCAACTGTAAGAAATGTGTAGGAAATGAGCAATTTCTGGGCATAACCACCACCACATGGTCTGAGTTTGATACAAATGTTGAAAGCATTTGCAATATCCCTTGTTTGCTCTATAACAACTTTATGGCCTATGAAACATGGGTTGGTTAGTACTTAAAATACATTTGACCTAAAAAACTTGATCTCATTTGAGTGTGGGAAAATTTCAAGAAGAAGCTATGCATTCAGGTCTGCTGGCAGCAGGCGATGTTTGCCTACTTTTGGTACCAGGGTTAAGAAAGACTTGGGATAGTTCAAGATAGAAACAGATATAAGTAGGTTTTTTTGCCCAAGCATCCACCATAACTGTGGCTTGAGGCTGATTTCACTGTAGGGAATGGGTAATGTCTTGGGAAGAATATGAAGATTCTTTAAGGTGTCAAGGGTCCAATAAATCTATGTGTAGGATTTACACAGGTTGGATATTTTCAATATGAAAGGCTAAGATGTCTGGACAAATCTAGATCAAACAATGTGCCCCACTGATCTGGATCCTTGGGTCTCCAAGGCAACCTCTGATTTCCTAACTAGATAAGACTTAGTCTTTTCTCTGGTGGGGAAAATTGTCTTTAACGGTTTACATAACTTGCCCTATATTCATTATCAGGACTAGTGAAAAAGAACATGATAGAGACACTCATTTCTCTCTGACCATTTCTTTACTTACTTCCACTTCAAATCAGACAGCCACTACGGGGTCAGAGAGGCTAAAAAAGGAATAAAAATTATTTTTGGAAGAGTTTCTATTGGGCTGATAGGGATGGCAATGCCATGAAAAAATACTTGCATAAGTGGGGAAAAGTGACATCTGAGACTTAGGCCAAAAGGGGACCCCTTCATGGGCAAATCTCAAACAGCAACAGGAAAGGGACAGTGTTCTGGGGGAGGCCCTATAGGGTCCAGTACCAGGCCCTGTATTTAAGCCCACTGGGACCAGCCTATCCTTCGGGTTGCAAATTAGATACTTTATAAAATGGAATCTTGCAGATACTTGGTATCTGTGGTATTTAGCTAAGACCACGGCCCCAAACAAAATACCTTCCAAAATTACCAATGAGAGAAGTGAGACATTTAAAGTCCAGTCATGTAATTTCATGTAATATGACACTACCTTTGCTAATGGGCAATATTTTTTATGTTGACTCATTGCTTAGAAGATAATTATAGTTTTCTCATAGAAGGAAATGCACCTCACAAAAACTGTCTAGTCTTGTTCTTACTTTCCTTAAAATAATTTAAGATTTCCACCCTGTCTGGACTATTCTTTCTAATAAACTTGCCAGTTACTACTATTTATCTCTAGAGTTGTACTGTTCAATGCTATAGCCACTAATGTCATGTGACTCCTAAGCATTAGCAAGATAGCCAGTCCACTCTGAGACGTGCTGTAAGTGTAAAACTTGCACTGGATTTCAATGACTTCCTGTAGAACAAAAAATATAGAACATCTCATTGGTCATCTTTTGGAATAGTGGATTAAATAAAATATTTTATTAAAATTATTTGCACTAGTTTCCTTGTTTCTGAGACAGGGTATCACTATGTAGTTCAGGCTGGCCTTGAACTCACTACACCCCAGGCTGGGTTTGAACTCAAGCAATTCTCCTGCCTCAGCCTCTGAGTGCTGGAATTACAGGTGTGTGCTACCTCGCCCAGTTCATTTTATTTTTTTAAGTGGCTACTAGAAAAGTTAATATACATGTGGTAAATATATATTTTAGTTGGTTAATGCTGATATAGACATCTTATAGATAATTATTCTGTAAGGTTTAAATGTAATTATCAATCTTTGTTCAAATAATAGTGAATATAGAGAAATATACATCTTGATTTGGTCTTTTTTTGTTGTTATGTCATTCGTTAATATAAAATACTGGGATGTTTTGTTTTGGAGACTGGATCTCACTATGTATTCAAGTTGACCTTGAACTCACTGTGTAGCCCAGGCTGGCCTCAAACTCCCAGTGATCCTCTTGCCTCAGCCTCCCAAGCCACCACACCCAGCAACAGAAATATTATTATGAAATACTAAAAACAGAGTTGGGAGATAATTAGGTGTACTAGATATTGGGGTGACTGATGTCTCATGATAAATTAGAAGACTATGAAACAATAAAGCTTTTTTTCTGCCTTGAGTGAAAGATTAACATTTGTGTAATTTGCATCATTTCTTCTTAGAACTTTCCTTTTTCCTGAATTCCAAGCAAAGAGCTAATAATATAACAATTTGTGAGAAATAATGCCCATCTCAGGCATATCTTTGGACTCTGAATACCCTAAAATAAGCTGCTGCATTGCTTGTGGTCACTGGAGGGTCCTGGGCATGGTCAGTGTGGTGCTTGCTCGGTCTGGGAAGGGAGATGGAAGCATCTGCATAGGGTCCCGGAAGCCTGACTCTTAGACTGACAGGGCCAGCTGGGCTAACATTTCCTGCTTGTGCCATTCTCAGTACGTGAAAAATGGCTGGGCAGCTCCTAAGGAGGCACGCAGCTGGGCTTCTGCACAAGTTACTCATGACAAATCTCTCTCTCTCTCTTTCTCTCTTTCCCTCTCTCCTCCCTCTCTTTAATTTCTTGGCTTTTCTGTTTGCCTTTCACACTTCCATTATGTTAACTGCCATTCTTCGGAATGTCACTGGCAGGATCAAAAGCAATCTTCTTTGGGTTTAACTTGTTTTTCAGGCTGATTTAGGTTTCATGCATAATTTCTCTTGGCTTCCTGTACCAGATTACAGGTGGAAGGAGGGACTTGATGGGTTCCACAGCCCGTAAATCCCTATCACAGCTTCTAAGCAGAACTTCGCAAGGCAAGGCGGAAACTTTTCTCACCACAGGGCAGGCGAGGGATTTACAAATTCTGCTCATTGCTATTCTATACACCGAACACCTAGTCTGAGTTCCTTGGCGGAGCAACCATAGAAATCCAGAGCATGTGCTGTGCCCATTCCTAATGGGTAACTGTAGTTATGTCTTTCCTTCATACACCACCTGTGGCTTACTCAAAGAGGACAGCAACGGAATGACCACAGTATAAGCAGGAAGTTATTCTACAACCAGCCAAACTCCATTAATATGGCACAGAGCAACTTTTTGTAAACATCTAATATCATGTCTTTTTTTTTTTTTTTAATTTAAGAGTCAAAAGTTAAACACACATTTATGTATTCGGAAGACAACACCAGACTTTGAGGAGTGCCCTCTCTCCCTCATGCCCCTGAGATGGGGGATGACTCAGTAGTTCAAAGCCACCAGATAGCAACACAGATTTTCACCTCTTGGTTTTAAAAAAATACCAACCTGTTCTTTTTTTAAAGGCAGGATCAGGACTAGAATTCTACATGTTCTTTACAATGTTTAGCATACAATTCAGGCAACATGATTTTTATGCTTTTTTGTAACTATTTGGTGATGATGAAGTAAAAATCTTGTTACCATGATTTCTTAGTTTGAACCAAGGCACTATGG